AGAAATTTTCAATTTTTCGATTTAAATCCAAATGAAAACCGCTTATCATCTTATGGAAAGATTCAATTTGTCTATGCATTTAATTTTATATCATTATTCTGGAATGCAAAAATATTGAAATGTATCTGTGAATGATAAATTTTTGCAAATAACTTGTAAAATATATAAAATGTATATAACCATATAAAAATTCTTCTTGATAATCAGAATTAGCGAGATATATGATATTTTATTGGTCGAGTTATGTGGATTAAAGCAGAGGGTTGGTTACGTGCGTGGTAGATGGGCGCGAGGAACTCAGGAGTTAGTCGCGAGACGTCACTTGTTCACGATCTGGCAAACGGTGCGCTTTTCAGATCATCCCTCGAATGGAGGTGGCGGTGTTATTATCGTAAAAATATCTCGTGACATTTTTTTTTCCAAACGTAATTAATTTTGATGTTAATGATGATGATGATCGTTAATGACGAATAATTTGTCGACGAACAATGAAAAGATTCGTATGAAACGAATAATTTATAAAGAGTTTTTTTGTTTTCGAAATAATTTTCAAAGTGAGAAAGAACGTTTGTTGTTATGTGACTTAAGAGAAAAGATACCGGAAAGTAATCGATTTGGTATCGCAAACAGTGATGAAATTGATGAACAATGAACGTGTCGGAATATTCATTTTATGAGAATATTAGCGACGAATTGAAATATTTGGAAAAAGTACGCGGCCCTAAGTATTTACCTCTAACGTTGATAGTGCCTATCACTCTCACGTACGTCATCATTTTTGTAACCGGATTTGTTGGCAATATCATCACTTGCATCGTTATTTGGAGAAATCCGACTATGCAGACACCGACGAACTATTACCTGTTCAATTTGGCGGTATCCGATTTACTGTTTCTAATACTAGGTAAGTTTGTCGATGCTCGTTATTCGTTTTTTCTTATTTCAGTAATATTTTATTAATATTAATATTATTTTACTAATAATTAATATATATATTGATCAATAAGAATGATTTAGTTATGAACGAATTATAGCAATTACGAGTAGAATTTTATTTATTAAATTAATAACATTAAAGTATTAATATTATACGATTTATAAATCTACAATTATTATTTAAAATAGTTCTTAAGGATACTTTTGACGATATCGAACTTTTGTGATATCGAAACATTAATCATTTATGATTTACGTGCTGTGCTGTTGCACTTTGACGCACGTGTAACGCATTGAATTCGTTTTATTGATAAAAATTATATTCAAGCATCATATTCACATTAGAAATGAAAGTTCATATAAATATAAAAAAAAAAAATAAAATAAGAGTATTAATAAATAAAATAAGAGTTAACAAATTTTAAGAAAAGGATTTATCTCAAATAATTCGTTATTGTAATATTTGATTTATTTTTTTCCCAATATGCAATAAATTAATAATTTCACTTAATACAAAATTTTACGCAGAATTATCAGATATCAGATAATATTTGCAGAATTGGTACATATTAAATCGTAATTGTTGGCTAATAAATTATCTTCTTTGCTGTAATGAACAATTTCGTGTTACAATTTTATTTGTATCGGGTGTTGACCCATGATCTCTGTGAATAAATTATTTTGCATCGAAAGTAACATTACAGTTAATTTATATTTACTGATTTCTGATTTTTTTCTGAGATCATTATTTTGTTTTATTTTTTCTTTTTTCAATTGATTCAATTAATATAATTTAACGAAATCTGATTTATTAATATAATATTTATTAATTTTAATTAATAAATTTTAATTAATAAATTATTTGATTAATTAATAAATTATTTTAATTAATTAATTATTTGATTTATTAAGTAAAAACGAATATAATTTGAAGAATATAATTTGAAGAATATAATTTGAATTTCATAGATAAAGTTGTGATAAGAAAAATATCTGATCAGAGAATGTTTCTCATTTAAATTATTGAATCTTTTTTTTGTTTCTGCTTTATTATAAGAAATTTTATCCTTTTCTTCCAATCTAAATTATTTTAAATTATTTGTATCGTCGATCATGAAAAGAAATTGAACGAATAAATTCAATACGAATGATTTTTACTTCATCGCCACAATTCTATCATTTTATCCTAATGCGATATGATAATTTCATAAACGAAGTGTGTCAATCAAAGAAAAGCATCAATT